GTGGGGTAGCTGCACCTGCCTGAGCTCCTCGGCGGTGCGGGGGCATCAAGAGGTCCTGCCGCTGCCCCTCTGATCCTGGCTCCTTGATGTAGCAGCATCTCCCTGAAGTGCCGCCTGGAGTGAGACACCTAAAATGAACGACAACCTTCCATCCTAGAACTACAGGGCCACGCATTTTGGATTCGCCGACAGCTTCTCTGCCTCGTCAGGCAATGGCAGAATCGCCTCACTTGTGGGCTGTGCTCGATATTCATCACCCAAATTGACACCTCGCAGCTATGATACCAGAGGATTCGAGCTCGAATACTACCTCAGGCTGACGGCGGCACAGACCCTAGAGTGCCAACATCACCTGACGAAATGTTGCCTGCATCCAAAGAACCAAAGCCTCACCCACCCTACGTAGCCTCCATCGCTACTCCCGAGAGACACCACTCTGCAACGATCAGCAATGTATGCGCGCAATCTGGGCAATCCCCCGCCAAGGCACGCCCTTCAGCAAGGAGCCGGATCCTCCCTTAGCGAAGACCGACGCAACCAAGCTGCTGCATCAGCCATGTCATCTGCGTCACCTCCTCTTCCCGGTGAACCCCATAATGTGGGACGGAGTGGGTTTTCCGTAACCTGAACGTTCAAGGGCTTATTGCGAGCAAGTTTCGCTGGCTCTTGATTGGCGACCCCGACATGGTCGACCAGATGTTGCGCGAGGCCAGGGTGAGGCTAATCTAGGATGGCAGAATCGTGCTCCAGCCGAATATCCATGCCATGGTGTGTCCGCTTCGGAGCTATATCAACTCCCGGGCTCGTCTCGTGAATCGTACAACACAGTGTTCTTGACGATTCGTCGAGCTCAATCCTTCTTCAGCATCACAGAGCAAAGATTTGCTGCCTTGACATTGATCGTATCCCAAACCCACACTCGCTCACGGAGCCAACTTGAGTCGCCACGATGAAGCCCACGCTTCCGCTGTCGGCGCTGTTCGCCATGGCCGCCGCTACGGCCCCCGCCAGCGATGCTCCGGCCAACGACACGCGCCCCGTCAACTTTGGCATGGTCCTCTTCACTGGCTTCCAGGCCCTTGACGTCTTCGGACC